GTGGTTTCGGCGCTAAATCACGAGCGGTGCTTATTGTTACAATAGGTCACCCTCTCTCGCGCAACCGGATAGAAGGTGTCCGCGCGTGTAGCGTGAGTCCAGATACCAGATGACTGGTTCTGTTGTACTTGATGCATGCGTACCTCAACGATTGAGAAGCAAGTCCTGCCCACCAGACCGAAATACGAACGAACGAACGAGCTGCGGTTCAACCTCAACTTTGGAAATCAAGAAGACGTGGATATGGATACATAATCAGCTGGCACCCCTAAAAGACGTTAAGTAAACAAACTGAAAATATGCCCGGCGGATGCTTCCTCCCCCCACCTCAATGCAAAGACTTGAAGACACGCATCCCTGTTACTGCTGTTTGAGATACACTTTGTTTATTGTACGTCTTTGGATGTGTACATAAAGATTTTCTTTCGGAGGAACAGCCTTATTTCGGAGGACATTACAGATTCGATATCCGTGCCTAATATAGATCCGCAGATGTACCAACAGCAGCTGGCCGCCCCCAGGAGAGCCGTATGTACCATGGGTACATCATTCCGTTCTTCCCGTGTAGGGCGTGATGTTGTGCCCGCTTTGCCCCGCCAATAGCCCGTTTTGTCCCGCGGTTAGGGTACTATACCGCAACAACACCATTCTTCTGTGGAAGAGACACGTGGCTCGTTGACGAGGTATCCTAAATCGAAAAAGTGTGATGGTGTGATGCACATACAGCTGTCGTGGATCCCTGTATGTCCATGGAGTGTCACAAGAGTTGAAGCCGCTATTGAGGGCACCGCCGCTAAACCGGATTAGCAAGTCTAATGTAGCTAGAAGTACCGACGTGCAGCGGTGCCACGAGATTTTGGGGCCGCTATTCAGGGCATCCCCCTGAACAGGGAAGGAGCCGCTAAACTGGGACCACGACTCTGTATGCATCATATGCATACGTACATACAAGGCGTCCCTCCGGAGTGGCGTAAAGAGAGCACCGCGGCAAGGGGTGATGCAAGAACATGCAAAAAGCAAAAGCAGATACAACGTATATAGAGTATAGCGTACGCACTGTTCGTTCCGCATTTATTGCCGTTTTTGCTGATGCTGCGTCTCCCACCGCCGCCGCGTATTCCAGGCCGCCAAACGACTTGAAATTCGTCAGGGCCGTATTGTCGCCCAGGAAACGCACACACCCCCCCTCGCCACAGGCGGGCAGAGAAGCGTTGTATTCGCGCGTTTAGCATGCAAACAGCAGTACCTATGTTGTAGGGCCGTGACCGTAGCATAATGGTGTGTGTCGCACATTCCGGAGAAAAAAAGTAGGCGCCACATGGATGTGGATGTAATTTTTTGAAGATGGGACGGATCGAATGAATCCGCAGACAGGAGCACTCGTGTGTGTGTTTTTATTATTATTAGCATCGACCGCGCTAACCGGCTGACCAATGAAAAAAGACGTCAGTCTTAGTGCGGTGGAAAACACAAAACAAAAAAAAAAAACACTTGTAGCTGCCATGAACTGAGACCCCGTGAGGGGGCAGCATGGGGGAGGCTAAACTATCCTTCGGATCAAAGACAGCAACGGCAGCGACAGAAGAAAGCTGGACGCGTCCGCCAAGGCTATTACCTTGTGTGTGTGTTTTTTTTTTCAAACATTCAAAGAAAGATGGATACACGTAAGCAAACACAGCCAAACTATCACGCAGTACAATACAGCAGTAGAGGTCCCTGTTTAGTGCCGGGGTGTGCGTCGAAATTTCACTGGCACAATACCGGACACCGGCACTACTCAGAGTACAGAACAACGGCTTGGTATTCCAGTGTGTGCGAGCCGAAAACACCGTTTGGCACAATACCGGGCATTGGCACTATTCAACCGACACTAAACAGGGACCTCTACTGTACATAAATCATACATGACACGCACGCACGTACTCTGTGCACCCACCACGACGGGGGGGAAACATATTCAAATATGTAGACAAACTCACGTCCGCAGCGACCTGGGTGCAGAACTATTTTGTCGTCACCATTTCACTACGTTCGTACAACGTCGTTCTATGTTCGGTCCAACGTGCCGACTTTGTGCAAGCTGTGCTGCTGCTGCGGGTCGTGGGTGCTTGTCAGCTACTGCAGTAGTACCACAGCGTTTGTTTGCCTGTGCCTCACCAAGGGTGAGATCCAGGGAGGAGGTGTAATAATGCAATATGAGCACAGCCAAGACCCGAGCAGCAGAATAAAACAGCAGCAGCAGCACAGCGGCACAAAACACGTGGGAGTCGATGACAACAGCAGTGTAGAAAAGAGAAAACTAACAAGCAGGCGGCGGGTGTTGTCTGAGTTGAAGAGAGGGCACATGGGACCGACTGACCGACAGCTAACCTCGCACCATCAATCAGCCGCGCTTCGGGCCACAACGGCGTTCCACCTCTTAGATTGCTGCATTACTTGAATGGCCTACCCGCTTTACTAAGCGGTTCAGACCTTTCTCGCGGGCGGGCGTGTTTGTTGTGTTCCTCCAGCGTGCGCAAGCACGGAGCACAGCAGGTACAGACGTGTGCGTTTTCGAAACTGCTGTAACACGGATACCTGTGGCCAAGCAAGGTGCTCTTCGCTGTTCTACCCGCTACTGCTGTGCTATTGTAGAAAGAAATAAAAGAAGCTACAGCTGCTTGAAAGAACATGAAAGACGCTCCAAGTCGAACAGCCGCCAGGAAACAGAAGGGAAAATAATACCCGAACAGCCTCCACTGCTAACGACCAGCCAACACAAATCTATAACTTTTCATATACGTACGCATAGGCACGACCACCCCGGAAATTCACCGCTTTGAAGAAAAAACTAAAATCGGACACAAGACTAGCCACCATTGAGCTTGTTACTAACACCAACAGAATATTATTGCTACAGTGCTCTGCATTGCTCGACGATTGGTATCTGGACATTACCTGCTGATACTGCTCATGCGCAGGGGGAAGATGGTATTTGGTCTTGCTTTTTGTGAAGTAAAAGACAACGACACCGGAGAGGAAGTAAAATCACGTTGGCTTGCGCCGCAGAAGGCCGACACTACTGTAGGGTAGGGTAGGGCGCCCTACCTGGCGGCCAACCGGGATGTTGGGTTTCCCGCAGGTACATGTGTTGTATATGTAGCTTCTTGTTCTTACAGCTATCTTTCATTTCGATGCGCACACGATTTCTGGAATTTTTTTCGTCTGTGCTCCGGTGCTCTGAGAGATAGGCAGGTGGCACTCTTTTCTCTGGCCGCTTGCAGTAAAACAATAGAGAGAAAAGTGCAAGGAGAAAAAGTATTTGAGAACTTGTTGGCCATGGGAACAGCTGCACTTAGGAAGTATGTTGCCGATGTTGAGTTACGTCACAGAGGCAGCAAATAACGAAGTCGTGCTCAGTAAGAATCCTGGTACGCTACAACCTATTTAGTAGTCAATCCTACACTAAGACCTGCATAGTAGCTGTCGGGTCAATAACCCCGGAACGGCAACCCCGAAACGACCAAAACGCCGAAACGGCATATACACCCGAAACGGCGACATAAGTGAAACGGCAATATACCCGAAAGGGCAACCTCGAACGGCACTCCGAAACGGCACGCCGAAACGATATTCTTGACAAGACCGCACTCCTAAGATGTGATTTGGTTTGAAACGCTGTAATGAGCGCGAAGGTTCAATGACGCCGATCCTAGACTTCTGTGATTTGATTGAGAGACAACAGTTGTGTGGGGATGGATCCCGTTTTGAGAACCTCTTCGGTCGTGCTTGACTCCCCACACTTTATAGTGTTGAAAATCGTTTCTACCGTTTGGTCTTGTTGTCTGTAAACACATGCCTTCGCTGTTTATTACGCTTGCGTGATATAGACGTCAAGGTCAAGATAGGATCTGGATTGAAAAAACGACATAAAAAAATAAATACGAAGTAGGATTTACTGTAGGCAACCAACCACAGAGACAATTTAACACAAAGAGGGGCTCACTATCAAGCTCTCTGTTTTTTCTTCCGTCTGCAGGTAGTAGTTGCCACGCCATGTCCAGCTTCCATATCCCACCCTACGGAGGAGGGGGGACACGCGGAGGAGGCAGAGGGGGGGTATCCCCCGCCGGCGCTGGTGGTGGGAGCGGTTCGGGAACCGGGGGGGTCGGGGGGAAACAGACGTCATCGCCGGCAAGGCGCAGGGGAGGAGCCGTCGGCGGTAAGACCGCGGCGATAGCGATAGGCGGGAGAGGACGTGGGACGGCGGCAGCGGCGGCGGTAGCGGCGACAGCAGCAGCAGCAGCAGCCGCAGGCGAGTGGGATCTATACTACAGCAGCAGTAGATACCAAAAACCTGGTGTAGTGGTACAGATACTTCGAGCAAAGTTTTCATGTACGCAGGCGAAAAGTGAGAGTGTCTCGAGGTGAAGGCCCCTGCCCTACCCTCCCGTCCTGTCAACGGTTATACTAGTAGTTCACTGCTGTTTTATAGAGCAAGCCCTTGTTTCGCACGCGGCAGCTGCTGGTTGGAGCTACCCCCGTTACCCCTCCCATGTGTGTCGTGCCTGTTTTGTACAAGCGCGCAAAGATCGAAGTCCCTCTTGCGGCATCTACTTGAAAAATAGTCGTGCCTGCCGAATGTGAAACGTTTGGTCTGCCGGCAATCAGCCCATGACATATCCGGTTTGGGCACAGCAAAACGCAGGAAACGATGATGATGAGCGGCATCTGGTTCATCCTTATCCTTGTGAAACGTTGCCTTGACCGGCGAAAACCCGGCAGCATATCGCTCCGTCCCGGTATGGTAGTGATGCGAGGTGAATGGTCGAACGACTACGGCATGCGTTTACATTATGAGAACCCCTCCCCATGTACGTATTACGAGACACGAAACCCCCTCCTTGTTCAAACCGTCTCGCCCACGACGACGTCGCCGCTGTAGA